TGCGCCGCGACGCCGAGTCCGGTTTCAGCTGGAACCGGAGTCGGTTCTGCGCAGAGGCGCTCGTCAGAGACGGCCGCCAAACCGCCTGGGCTTCGACGACCACTGACTGCCTCGCCGGCAGTCCTGAAGAGGGGGGAGATGTTGTGAGCTGGCCCAGTCGGTGCGGCGGCATAGTATCCTGCCCCTGTCGGGTCGCAGTGCGGGCCGCAGCCGAGCCGTGCGGGCCGCGGCCGGGCCGTCCGGCCTGCCGCCGCGGGGCAGGCCGATCACGTGATCAGGTGTAAGCGGCACCTGATTGGTTGTTCGCTGTATGTGTGTGTGTGTGAGGTCGATGTCGTGTGTTGCTGGCATGGTGGGGTCAGTGTGCTTTCGGACTCGCTCCAATACAGTCTACAGACCGCAGCTCGCCTCTCAAGAGATCACCAGGGCAGGATCGACGACGACATCACAACATGTACGATAACCACGCAATGCATGGACAAGAACGCTTATAAAAATTCCAAACGGTTATGGAATAAAATAACATTTAAAAATTGTTAACATAGTTGGTGACCTGGCAAGAAATGCTTTTCCCTGTTTCACTAAACAATGGCGATGGGCCTGAAACCCCGGTCTGGCTCATTCGAACAACCGCGAATAGAAGTATAATTGGAAACCATAAATTGGAGCTAACGCCAGCTGTGGAGGGCTAAAACGATGGATGGCCGCTTTGCCCCGGGTGGCCGCTTTGTCCCACTCTCCCCTAAATATTCAAATGGTTGCTAAATTCTAATTCAGCTCCAATACCAGCCTAGAAGCATATACAACTCGAAAACGTGAACCGGGGTCATCAAAGGTCAGTGATGACCTGACCTCCAGGTGACCTTGAAACCCACACTAATGCATAGGAGCAACATCAAATCACATGTTTGAAAGCTTGAAACCACGAAAAGAATGCAAACGCGCGGTTAACCCACGCCCTGCTGGGGGGGGGGGGGGGTGTTTGAACACCCCCTTCTAACTCGGCTCCTGGGCCACGTAGCGATACGCGGAAGGCGGCGTTCGAAAGAGCGTCAAAAATAATGAGGAAAAAACTTCGGTCAATTTTTTGGTCAGGTCAAAGGTCAGGTCACCAGAGGTCATTGAAGGCAAAATTTCGCCGATTTCCAGGTCGAATGTCGACAATTTCCAAGAAGCCAACGCATAACTCGGGAACCAATAGAGCTACAGCGCCGCGGAAAAGTGCATTCGATAGCCCTATTAATGCCCTTTCTGAGTAATTTTCTTAGATTTGACCTAACGTCAACGGTTTTGCCTGCAGGGGACAAAAACTGCAAAAATAGCCGATTTTTTCGGAAACAGTTTTTCTGCAATAACTTTTGACCCAAGCCTTGTACGAGCTTACTTTTACCGGCATCGTGTTCCTCTCATCAAGACGCATCAGAATGAGCTATAACTTGACCTTGAAAGGTCAACTTGAAAATTTGACCTCAGGTCAAGGTCATGACCTGACCGGAAAGGGTCATGTTGCATATCAGTCGATCCGTGTCGTCGAGCTGAACACATCTAAGGCGTTTTCATCGCTCTAGCATGCCTCTATCAAAAGTTATTTGCGAAAAACTGTTAGATACCATTCGTGACCTAAGATGACCTCAGGGCATAAACAGGGGTCACGGACACCATTTTCATGTTCAGTGTGTCTAAACCACTTGTAATTCAGTGTTTGGGAGTGTTTATAATGTCTTTCGTCCAAAAGAGGCGCATTTCAATTTTCTCCCATTGACTTATAATGGGGAGGTCGCAAAATTGACCTGACCTTAGGTCATCGATATCAAAATTCTGAGATATACATTTTGTACATGCTATTGCTCTTAGCAATCGCTGAAAGTTTCAAAGCGATCAGTCACTCGGTGTAGCTATGACAGACATTGAAACTTTTTATGAGGTGAGGTCACTTCAAGTGACCTGGTGACCTGACCTTGAATGACCTTGGTCTGAAATTTTCACAACATGTGTAGAATCGATGTATGATAAGGTGTACCAAAAACGGCGGCGCTCCGCGCCGCCGTTTTTGAGATATTCGCGAAAAACCACAAGGGGGTGTTCAAGCACCCCCCCAGTAGGGCGCGGGTTAATGCGAGCCGACATACTCCGAATCGCGATTCCGGCTAAACATGGTCTCGAAAAGTAGGTCACAGCACACAGGTCAAAGGTCATTTGGGTCAGGGTCATGAAATTTTAGAGTTGGTGCAACATTGATCAACTCAAGGGTACTGAAAGCTTCTTCGCTATCGGCCGCTTTTTACGCGAGGTATTCGCGAAAAACCGATGGGGGTCCGTTCGATCCCCCCCCCTCATACGGGCGAAGGCTAATTTACTAATCCTTGCAGCTAGATATTACTTCTAAAAATCGATTGCGGGCTGTGTTTTTTTTTCAGACCAACGTTTGATGCTTTTTAGCGCGCCCCTCCCTCACGGTTCGTCGGAAACTCATTTCATCCACAAAAGAAACGAAATATACCATTCGAAAGCTGACGGCTAGCTGATTCCAAAAATGCATTTTTTATCGAAATCGTCCGATGGCCTTTTTCAAGAATTGCTTTTAAACGTAGGTAATAATTTTTTATTCAACGAGCTGTCCAGGACAGTATTGAAATCATAGGCATGTTTTTTCGTTTTCCAGTGAAAGCTGAATACCAAAGGAACAATATGCAGCAATAAAGCATTCTCAAATATGAATATGCGTCTCTCACAGCCGGCAACAAGGCGCAATCACACAACTGAGTGTCACGTTAGATCAAGCTCAGTCACACAGAAGCGTGAAATGACCCTTATTGACTCGCAGACCCGGCGCTAGGCCCGTCTGACCGGCCACGGAAGAAACGTTCTAGTCTCGTCCTGCTAAACAAGTGTTGTATTTGTTTGTTTAACGACCCATATCGCTATCAAAGTTATTCAGGATACGTGTGAAGACAGTTCATTGTTCTACAAGATTTACAACATGCTTTAATTTACATTTTCATATACAGGTTTTGCTCCGTCCCGCTGCGCGCAATGCCCGCGCATGGAAAGTTGGCGACTTCACTGTCAGAGGCCGCACCAGTGACAGCTGTTCGGCCCTGCCCGGTCAAAGGTTACCCTGCCCCACGGGGCGCTACCCCCACTCCAGCCCAGCTGAGGCAGGTACAACCTCTGACATCTCAGCGCGGTCAGCTTTCCTGATGCCTGGCTGATTTGAGCAAAGTAGACATGAAGAAATGCAAATTCATACATGATGTGAAAATGACAGCAATGAATCTTTGTCTCAGTTATCCTGAACAACATAGGTAGGTACCGACTTGAATCGTTAAACTAACAAATATGACGCCCGTTTCGCAAGGCGACAGTCGAACGCCTCTTCCGTGGCCGGTCAGACGGGCCTAGCGCCGGGTCTGCGCGTCGATAGGGGTCATTTCACGCCTTTGTGTGGCTTACTTTGATCCATCATGACACTGAGTTGTGTGATTGCGCCTTGTTGCCGGCTGTGAGAGACGCATATTGATATTTGAGTTTTTTTGTTGCTACATATTGTTCTTTTGGCATTCAGCTTTCACTGGAAAACGAAAAAACATGCCTTTGATTTTAAGAATGTCCTGGGCCCTGTTCAAGTGTCTGCGGCCGCCGCGGCTCCCGCGGCCAAAAAGGCGGAGCTTAGCTGGCGGCCAATCAGGCGAGAGCAGCATTCTGGGTAATGCGTAGCTCTTCCTGCGGCTCCCGCGGTCGCTCGGGAGCGACCGCAGGGAAACTTCGACATAAACTGCGCGCGTGAGACAAAACATTGCGGATTTCGCTCTTTGTTTCGGTTGATTTTATTATGTTGTTAAGGAATAATTGCTTCAAAAAGGTACTAATTGAAGTAATAAAGCCATTATAAAGCAATTACGCACAAAATTTTGATCAGCATCTCCATTCAAAACAACCGTGCCATTCTCGTCGCCGGCCGCAGCGGCCGCAGCCGCGAGGGTGTTCAACCTAACCGAAATTAGGCTCCGCCTCCCGGCCGCGGGAGCCGCGGCGGCCGCAGAGCACTTGAACAGGGCTCTGGACAGCTCGTTGAATAAAAAAATCACGTTTTTACAAAACGCGTTTAAAAAAAGACGCCATCGAACGATTTCGGTAAAAAAAACACACATTTTTGGAATCAGCTCACCGTCAGCTTTCGAATGGTATATTTCGTTTCTTTTGTGGATGAAATGACTTTCCGACGAACCGTGCCCTATAACCCGCGCCGGGCTGGGTAGTTGTTCGGACCCCCCCCCCCCTCCCCCTGCGGTTTTTCGTAGCGCCGTTGTTTTTAGCATACCTGTTGATGCGTCTTTTCCGCACATGTGAAAATTTCAGACCTAGGACGTTCAAGGTCAGGTCACCAGGTCACGTCAATTGACCTCATCTTGACAAAGTTAGAATGCTCGTCTTAGCTACACCGACTGAACAATCGCCTTGAAACTCTCAGCGATTGATAATAATAACACGGGAAGTTGAACGCGGGGCCTGGTTGCGGGGGGGGGGGGGGGGGGGTCCGGCTGCGGAGGCGGGGACCGCAATGTGACCGCCGTCTGTATGTCGGCCGGCCGCGGCCCGCAATATGACCGCCGTCTGTATGTCGGAGGCGGGGCCCGCAATATGACCGCCGTCTGTATGTCGGAGTCGGGGCCCGCAATATGACCGCCGTCTGTATGTCGGAGGCGGGGCCCGCAATATGACCGCCGTCTGTATGTCGGAGTCGGGGCCCGCAATATGACCGCCGTCTGTATGTCGGAGGCGGGGCCCGCAATATGACCGCCGTCTGTATGTCGGAGTCGGGGCCCGCAATATGACCGCCGTCTGTATGTCGGAGGCGGGGCCCGCAATATGACCGCCGTCTGTATGTCGGAGTCGGGGCCCGCAATATGACCGGCGACCGCCGTCTGTATGTCGGCCGGCCGCAGAGGCGGAGGCGGGGCCCGCAATATGACCGCCGTCTGTATGTCGGCCGGCCGCAGGCTGTCTCTGCGTTTTCTCCAACGCGGCGTCGTTCGAGTACCTGCGCCAGTCCGTAGAGAAGACACTACTCTCGAGTCTGCAGGAGGAGGAGGAGGAGGAGCAGGAGGAGGAGCAAGGACGGCCGCCATTCCAGGGCCTGCCGCTGGTGCTGGTACTGGCGGCCGACCCGCAGCTGGGCAGAGCAGAGCTGGCGCAGCTCCGCCAGGACGGCCGCAGCCTTGCCGACAGGTGAGCTGGACAGACGGACCGCACCGCACCGGACAGACGGACAGACAGACGGGCCCGCGGACCGGACAGACCGGGGGCAGCCTGGGGCAGAGATGCACGCGCTGACGCCGCACCCGTGGTCCGATTGCGCCCATCTTTTGATACGATGGTCCGCCCGCCACCGATTTCAACCTCCTACTCGACAACGCGACAACCTTATGAATTATAAGATGTCTGTGCGTCCATGCCCGCGTCTGTCAGGACTTATGTGTCTTATTGCGCCTGAAAGGCGCCGCGTGGCGACGTGAAATTTTGTGGGCACAATCTGTGGGTTGAGGCGACCTCTGTATTAAAATTTGGGCGTGATCGGACCAGGGGTGCGCCGTCAGCACGCGCTCGCGAGCGCCATAGGGTTAACACAGGAAACGGTCAAATCGACGATCGGGCGAAAACCGGCCTGCGGCGCCCGCTTCCCGGCTGTATAAATCGGCAACGGAGGGTCGCAGCGAGAAGCGGTTTACACCACTCGATAGAGGAGAGATGGGCCTAGCGTATTGACATGGTTTCATAGTATAGCACGCTTCACGTGCAAGACAGCACCCCCAGTTGTGAAAAAATGACCGATTTCGTGCATTGTGACGGGAAAATCGATGCCGCTGGAAAACGGCTTGACGGAATGAAATCGGTGTGGTGCCATTTTGCAGGCAAATGTACGTGTAATCAGAGGAAAGGAAATAAAAAGTGATGATCCGTACCCTTTCTTTAATAATGAAAAATTAATTGAAAAATTTGATTCGTAAAATTAATAATTGTATTTGTGTGTGCCGTTCACAAATACAATTAAGGGTAATGGAATGGCACGAATAGGAGCAGGACTAGAAGCACTTTTAAAGTCTAATTAAAAAAGAATATTTATTGGATCCAATTATTATGCGACCTGACATGAACCAGTGGTAGGTAGTGGTAGGGGTAGGGGTAGGGGTAGCGGTAGCGGTAGGGGTAGGGGTAGGGGTAGCGGTAGCGGTAGGGGTAGTGGTAGGGGTAGGGTAGGGGTAGGGGTAGTGGTAGGAGTAGTAGTAGGGGTAGGGGTAGTAGTAGGGGTAGGGGTAGTAGTAGGGGTAGGGGTAGTAGTAGGGGTAGTAGTAGGGGTAGTGGTAGTGGTAGGAGGTAGGGGTAGGGGTAGTGGTAGTGGTAGGAGTAGTGGTAGTGGTAGGGGTAGTAGTAGGGGTAGTAGTAGGAGTAGTAGTAGGGGTAGTGGTAGGGGCAGTGGTAGGGGTAGGAGTATGGGTAGTAGTAATGGTGTAGTGGTAGGGGTAGTAGTAGAGGTAGTAGTAGGGTAGTGGAAGGGGTAGTGGTAGGGGTAGGAGTATGGGTAGTAGTAGTGGTAAGGGTAGGGGACAGGGGTAGATGTAGTGGTAGTGGTAGGGGTAGGGATAGTGGTAGGGGTAGTGGTAGGGGTAGTGGTAGGGGTAGTGGTAGGGGTAGTGGTAGGGGTAGGGGTAGGGGTAGTGGTGGAGGCAAAAGTAGAACAGTGGCCCGGGCTGATCCCATCGGACGAGAGGTGACCTATGTGACCTGGCCTGACCCAAAGTGACCGGGGCTGACCCCTTTGACCCGTCTTGACCCCGTATCAGCCAAATGGTATCCAACACAGCCCTCAGAACAGTTCTTTTTTAAATTCTCTTCACATTTCCGTCCATATCTATGCTTCTAGACGACACATCGATTTGAATCGACCACCATTCGAAAGCAAATTGGCTGGTGCCGCAATTTTTTCCTACCACGCAGCAAAGCAAGTGGCGCAGCCGCTTGTCTACCTTTACTATTTGAACAGAATCCGTCTGTGAGTCTGTTTGTGTGTCCGCACATCGTGTAGTGGGTACAATTAACCCCGCGTACAGGGCAGACGGTACGGCGTAGGGGGTTGAAATTTGCACACCTTATAGGTGACAGAACGGGTCAGCGCCTTTTCTAGGTTCCGACTCGCTGGGGTGCACGGTTCGCGCGTGGGGCGCGCTGGAAGAACGCCAATGAAATTTTGATCGGTTCGTAGATCTTCATTGAGAGCCGGGGTCGACAAACTTTGTGAGCTAAATGCATGCCGATCGGTGGCGGGTGCCTTGCATTGGCGGATAGGCAGGTTTTAATTTGAATAAAAAGTGTCGAGAGAATGTGTTGGTTTTTTCAATGGGAACAATTTGTGATACGATTATACAAATGCACCGCGTTTGCCGTTATGCGCCACATATGTCCGAAGGCTTCATTTTCGTCGCAAATTGCACAGTTTTGTCAAATATGGTCCGATATGGGTGCAATTTGGTGCAAGGGTGCATGCTCAAACAACAGGTACAGATGCGCCGCATTTGCCGCAATGCGGCACATTTGCCAGAAAGCGCCATTTCCGACAAAATCGAGTAAGGGTAATGGAATGGCACGAATAGGGGCAGGGCTGGGAACACTTAGTCTGATATTTTAGTACTGATTGGATCCAATTATTCTGTGACCTGACATGACCCAGCGGTGTTGCTAGGGGTAGGGGTAGTGGTAGGGTAGTGGTAGGGGTAGTGGTAGGGGTAGTGTAGTGGCAGGGGTAGGGGTAGTGGTAAGAGTAGTAGTAGGGGTAGTGGTAGGGGTAGTAGTAGGGGTAGTAGTAGGGGTAGTGGTAGGGGTAGTGGTAGGGGTAGGGGTAGTGGGAAGGGTAGGAGTATGGGTAGTAGTAGTGGTAGGTGTAGGGGTAGATGTAGTGGTAGGGGTAGGGGTAGTGGTAGGGGTAGTGGTAGGGGTAGGGGTAGTGGGAGGGGTAGTGGTAGGGGTAGGGGTAGTGGTAGGGGTAGGGGTAGTGGTGGAGGCAAAAGCAGAACAGTGGCCCGGGCTGATCCCAGCGGACGAGAGGTGACATATGAGACCTGGCCTGACCCAAAGCGACCGGGGCTGACCCCTTTGACCTGTCTTGACCCTGTATCACCCAAATTTCATCCAACAACGCCCTCAGAACAGTTCTCATTTAAATTCTCTTCACATTTCCGTCCATATCTATGCTTCTAGACGACACATCGACATGAATCAAACACCATTCGAAAGCAAATTGGCTGGTGCCGCAATTTTTTTCCTACCACGCAGCAAAGCAAGTGGCGCAGCCGCTTGTCTAACTTACTATTCAAACAGAATCCGTCTGTCTGTGAGTTTGTGAGTGTGTGTGTCCGCCACGCCGTGTAGTGGGTTCAATTTGTTACGGCTACATGGCAGACGGTACGGGGTAGGAGGTTGAAATTTGCACACCTTCTAGGTGACAGAGCGGGTCAACGCCTTTTCTAGGTTTCGACTCGCTGGGGTGCATGGTTGGCACGTGGCGCGCGCTGGAACAACGCCAATGAAATTTTGATCGGTTCGTAGATCTTCATTGAGAGCCGGGGTCGACAAACTTTGTGAACTAAATGCATGCGGATCGGTGGCGGGTGCCTCGCATTGGCGGATGGTTAATTTGAATAAAAAGTGGCTAGAGAATGTGTTGATTTTCATTCAATGAGAACAGTTTGTGATACGAGTTTACAAATGCATCGCGTTTGCCGCAATGCGCCACAATTATCTCAGGGCGTCATTTTTGCCGCAAATCGCACAGTTTTGTCAAATATGGTCCGATACGGGTGCAATTTGGTGCAAGGGTGCATGCTCAATCACCGGTTGAAAATGCGCCACGTTTGCCGCAATGCGCCACATTTGTCGCAAAGCGCCATTTCCGACAAATACGATTAAGCGTAATGGAATGGCACGATTAGGAGCAGGGCTAGGAGCACTTTTAAAGTCTGATTTAAAAAATATTTATTGGATCCAATTATTATGTGACCTGACATTACCCAGCGGTATTGGTAGGGGTAGGGGTATGGGTAGTGGTAGTGGTAGGAGGTAGGGGTAGGGGTAGTGGTAGGAGTAGTAGTAGGGGTAGGGGTAGGGGTAGTGGTAGGAGTAGTAGTAGGGGTAGGGGTAGTGGTAGGGGTAGTAGTAGTGGTAGGGGTAGTAGTAGGGGTAGTAGTAGGGGTAGTAGTGGGGGTAGTAGTAGGGGTAGTGGTAGGGGTAAGAGTATGGGTAGTAGTAGTGGTAGGGGTAGGGGTAGTGGTAGTGGTAGATGCAGTGGTAGGGGTAGGGGTAGTGTTAGGGGCAGTGGTAGGGGTAGGGGTAGGGGTAGTGGTTGGGGAAGGGGTAGTGGTGGAGGCAAAAGTTGAACAGTGGCCCGGGCTGATCCCATCGGACGAGAGGTGACCTTTGTGACCTGGCCTCACCCAAAGTGACCGGGGCTGACCCCTTTGACCCGTCTTGACCCCGTTTCAGCCAAATTTCATCCAACAAAGGCCTCAGAACAGTCCTTTTTTAAATTCTCTTCACATTTCCGTCCATATCTATGCTTCTAGACGACACATCGATTTGAAACACCATTCGAAACCAAATTGGCTAGTGCCGCAATTTTTTCCTACCACGCAGCAAAGCAAGTGGCGCAGCCGCTTGTCTATCTTACTATTTCAACAGGATCCGTCTGTTTGTCTGTCTGTTTGTCCGCCACGCCGTGTAGTGGGTTCAATTCCACTCGCCTACAGGGCAGACGGTACGGCGCAGGGGGCTGAAATTTGCACACCTTATAGGTGAAAGAGCGGGTCAACGCCTTTTCTAGGTTTCGACTCGCTGGGGTGCACGGTTGGCACGTGACGCGCGCCGGAAGAACGCCAATGAAATTTTGATCGGTTCGTAGATCTTCATTGAGAGCCGGGGTCGACAAACTTTGTGAACTAAATGCATGCCGATCGGCGGCGGGTGCCTCGCATTGGCGGATGGGCAAGTTTTAATTTGAATAAAAAGTGGCGAGAGAATGTGTTTATTTTCGTTCAATGGGAAGAGTTTGTGATAGAAGTATAAAAACGCACCGCGTTTGCCGCAATGCGTCACATTGGTCACAAGGCGCCATTTTTGCCGCAGCTCGCACAGTTTTGTCAAATATGGCCCGATAAGGGTACAATTTGGTGCAAGGGTGC